TACATTTTAGCAATTACATATTCATCATTTGTACACAATTCTATTTCAAACTCAGTATTACAGTGTTCAAAATCATAAACTCTTTTGCCTACTTTCTAATAACTGTAAATAAGAAAATCATTGACAACTATATCCCTCTGCCACTAGTTCCAAGTGGCACTCCGTAGTTACAGACAGCATCACAGTCAATATCTCCATAGTTACAGTCAGCATCACAGTTTGGTTCATATTACCTTTACCTTTTGTTTTATAAAATCCACCAATTGTCTGCATTCTTTAATGGTAAACAAAAAACATTCCCACGAAGGTCCGGTTCATTTGTCTATTTCAATTCCAATTTATTCAAAAATATTTTCACCAAAAAATAATCTTTCAAAATAACTATCCTCTTTATCCGCTTTAAACTTTCTTATATCCATAAGCTTTTTGCCAAAAGTTTTTAAATCTTTAAAACTTTTTTTTATTATTCCTTTGTAATCCAGAAAGAATGATGACTCACCAAGTGGAATTTTAATCCTGCCGCTCAGGAAATCTTTCTTTAGCTGTAAATTAGTTACATCCAAAAGTGTTTAAAAAATGAGGCTTGTGCAAACCTTTTGTCCATATAGGCTACATTATGGCTGTGAGCTTGATTGAAATCCCTCAATTCCAATGGCTCAACTCACGAGCTGACCACAAAAATCTCAGTTCCTGCAGTCTATTCATGAAGAGCAGTTGTCCAGAGTGCAAGTGGGCAACCTCACAATCTCTCCTTTTTCAGACAGAATTGACTGGCCACCAATCTCCGCCGCAAAGCTGTCCCTGCTCCTTCAGGGAGGTCTAGTTCACCATAATCCTCACTGGAATCTCAGTCCATTCAAATGTTTTTGTGAAGAATTTAAATATGAGGAATGAACTGTATTAACAATACAGGTAGTCCTCATTTAGCGACCTCAATTGGGACCAGCAACTCCATCGCTAAATGAAGCGGTTCTAAGTGAAAATCATGTGACATTGACTGTGCTTACTATTTTACTTCAGGTTTCCTTTGCTTTACAGCATCAGAAGGATACAACCCCAAAGAGCCAGGTGAGCCCAAATGGCGGGGAAGATTACTGGAACCTGACTCTCAAGGAAGCTGGGTAAAAGAGCAAATCTTATAGCCCTTTTCCCCACTCCCCTGCCCTTTGGAATGCTCACCCTGGCACTGGGATAATTAGCAAGAAGAGAATTGATGTTCGCATTTACATTCATTGGAGAGGAAGGGATTACTCTGCGCGGGGTGGGAGGGAATGGGTCAGCACAGGAGAGATTGCCTACAGAAATCACTTGGGTTTTTTTCTCCCCCTGCCCTTGCAGAGCAGAGACTAGAAAGGAATGGATTACAAGAGAGTAAGCAGGCATACAATGGGGAATACACCAGGCTGTTTGCGTAGCATGCTCATGGCTGCCAGTGCCAGCACATTGCTTTTGATGTGTATTCCCCATTGTGTATCCATTTACTCTCTTAACCCCTTCCTCTCTAATCTCTCAACTCTGCAAGGGGAGAAAAAGAGAAAAATAACAGGTCAGGCACAGGACAATGCATACTGACTATAATGGCGATCACATGACTGATGGACACTGTGAAGGTCGTAAATGCGGGCATTGATCATGAAGTTATTTTTTCAGTACCATTGTAACTTGAACAGTCACTGAATGAAGCAGTTGGTAAGCAAGGACTACCTATATTTAATTAATTCACTGTAGAATTAGCTAAATGAAATCTTGCTTCTTCCTGGTCTGCCTACCTTTTGGGGTATAGCCCCGACACATCATTCAAAGGACAAGTTGGCCCTTAGCCTAAGAATAAGCCCCTCATTGGTGTGGTTAAGAACTCCCGCTTTTGCCCTGATCTGTTCATCTTCCCAATTCCCAGGTGTTTGCATGGTCTTCTTTGGACAGGATTCTGGGCAGTACAAGTCTGTGTCTGCTTATCCCGAGTCTTCCTTGCTGCACACTTCCCACATCAAGTGATCTCAGGTGTTATTTCAGGTAAGCTATTCCTAGGCCTGAAACGTGAATGCACAGTTGAATTTATATACATTACATAAACATTATTGTTCAATAGAAATGGTTGCATGAAAGGAGTATGTGCATGATAGTTCCACTATTCATGTTACATACACCCAAATAACACATGCCAGGGACTAGATTGGCATCAGTTGCTCAAGACGAGGGCTGGTTGTAATCAAGAGTTAACTCACTCACATAGGCACAAGAAATTCTCAAAACAATCATGACATTGTTCACATATCACACTAAGCTTTCAGTATGCTTTGATTCTGACACAGCATGTTGAGTGAACCTGGCCACTATAGTTTGTAACAATCCCTTATGGCTTAGCATGCTGGGCAACCACTTGCTCCTTAATAAATAAATCATGGTTAAACAACTATTAAATATGCTGTGTCATATTGTTTCATTTTCTGCTTATATGAATTAAAGATTAAAGAATTCAGCAATGTGGGTTCAAAAGAAAGGAACAGGGCAAGCTTAATACACATAACTGATGCCTTTATGTTTGCTTATTTAGAGAAGTCTCTCACCCATCTTCAAGAATAAAAACCCTGCACGCAAATATCACAGAATGCCAACTCAGTCAATGATTTACTTATTCCACAGGGATGGTGGTGGCTCTGGCTTTTGAGCATGTCCATTCCATCTACACCGCCAGTCTCATGCGATACGTGGGAACTATTGGCTTCCTCTTTGGCTTTGCACTGGGCTTCTACCTGCTGCTCAAGGTGCTGGGTGTAGATCTTCTGTGGACACTCGAGAAAGCCCACAAGTGGTGTGAACGGCCTGAGTGGGTCCATATTGACACGACCCCTTTTGCTAGTCTGCTGCGCAACCTGGGCATTTTGTTTGGTCTGGGGCTCGGACTCAACTCCCCAATGTATGCAGAAAGTTGCAAAGGGAAGCAAAGCCAAGGACTGACTTTCCACCTCAGCTGCATTGTTTCCTCATTATTAGTCCTGCACCTGTTTGATTCCTTTGAACTACCCACTGACCAGGAGATCCTCTTCTACATCCTCTCATTCTGCAAGTGCACTTGTGCCCACATCTGTGCAGTGGCCCTGATCCCCTATGGGATTTCCTGCCTCCTTCAGCAGACAGACAAGAAAGATTTATAAGGAACAAATGTCCTGCAATAGAACTACCTTGGACATGGATCTTCAGCTCTGAAGACTAAAGTTTTATAAACTAAGATATGTTGCTGTCTCTTTTGTGGATGATCAAACAGAGCCTTGATCCCTTCCATATACTGATGAATACAGCTGCCTCCAGATAGAAACGGTTTGATATCCTGGCTGGAAGGACAGGGAGGAAAGATGTAGGTATTTTAGCCAGAGATGAAAGCTGAGTGGCATCTGGGATGTGTCTTAGAAAAGCTTGAGGAATTCAAACTGGGACAGAAGATGGCTAAAGTACCTTGCTAGTTTGCAAGCAAGACAGAATTATTTACAAACTTTTAATAGTGGCCTGGAAGAACCATTTGCTGTATTTGCCCTGTCTGCTCTCCTACCCCACCCCACCCCCACACATTCTGGTTCCTTCTCCATGTTTGTCTTACATTCTTTTCCCTCTTTTCATGTGAATGTTTGTGCACAACAGCATTTCAAAAAAAACCCCTTGCTTTTTGCCATTTTCTTATCACTTATGGACCTGGTTATCATCCTACATTTAACCAATTTACTGCCCATTCAGATTTTGTAATGGCAGCTTTGTCTCCCACTTGTAATCATGTGTTTGGCACAGCACAGACACAACCATAAACCCTAAATCAAATTGATGCAGGGTTAAGTTTGTGTACCATTTTTTTAATATAACACCTGAAGGATTCAGGCACTTTCCTAGGATCACATTTCTATGCCTGCTTTTTAGGAAGTGATTCAGTCGTATCAGAGTACTTCTTGCACAAAGTCATGTACTCAACAGTTTGTACACGAGCTGGTGAACTATGCAATTAACAAGTTGCTGTGTATGAAGAAAGCTTATGTGCCTCCCGCTTATTACATATCATGCTGTTTTGGACTAAACAAAACATGGATAATTAGTTATAAAGTTTCTGATCCTAAGATGTAACAATAGGGAGTTAGGACCACCTTCCCAACTTGGTACTTTCCAGATGTGTTGCGAATATAAATTCCCAAATGTCCAGCCAACAGGGGCCATTCTGAGAATTCTAAGCATCAGTCCCCATATATCCAGAGGAGGCCAAATTAGGCAAGACTGAGAAAAGAATTATGTCTTTTAAGCTCTTTTCCAAACGGTTCACCAGAAGACAGTTTCGAGAAGACAACATACACTGTTAGAAACAAACACAGTAGCAGAGTTTAATTTGGAACTCAGTAACAGTATGGGACACATCATGACACATCTGACACATGCAATTTTTCTTCTCTGTACCAAAAAACTGCTTGGTTTATGATGAAGCTGCTCCCTGCAGAGATAACAAAGTTTCCAGGCATGCTTGTTTCACAACCTATAGCTCCCTCTTAAGACATTTTATCTCTTACATATCTAGTACTATCCCTCTTTGAAGTATTAGACCACTGATAATTTTTTTTTGCTGGTACTGGCATGCTCAAGAAACAAAGGAGGAGAGATTATTATATTATTAAATAGTCCTTAAGGAACAACTATGGCTGAATCTTTTCCACATTCCCTAATTGCACTATTGGTCCTGATGTCCAGTCATTGTTCTGAGTTCTGTTTGCTGGCAAATGCCTGAAGAAGGGCCTCCACTTCTGGCCGTTGGCTCATCCGTGTAGCTTTGCCCTGGTAGCGCCCATGTTTCCCTGCTCCTTTTCCTTCCAGTAGTTCAGCAACTCTTGTGGGAAGAACAAGAAGTCAGCATGTTCAGCTAGACTGAATCTTCCTTACCCATCAGGTTCTTCATTTGCCAGTGCACTTCCAAAGAGTACACTGAGACCGTATTTTGGCTGATTGGTACTTTGTCTTACAAATCCCAGCTGGGTATTTGTCTCTTTCAAAAGCCCCCAACAGCCTGCAAATCTTCTTTGGGCAACTGACAAAACAACAGACCAGAGCTCCATCCCCACTGGTCACCAATCTAACACTTTGATTTTATTTCTTCAGCTGGTTTGAATGACTCACCTGGGGCCTAGTTTCTCCACTGCTTCTGAAGGCCCTGCCAGCAGAAAAAGCCCAGCTGCTTTTTCATCTCCCACAGATAAGAAAAGGAGGGTTTCCTGCTGAAAGGATAGTGTTTCAGATCTGCTGCTGCTAAACAAATCATTTAAAAAGTACTACTCAACCAGTGCTCAAGGATGCCACTATACAGGTCAGGATTTTTCTTCTGATGGTATGTCTAATTCATTAGCAGACTCCCTGCAAGTTTTACATTTCACTGGTTCCATTCTTGACAGCCATTTCAGGGTCTCCAGAGAAGGTATGCTTTGCAATTACAGCTTGGCTTTGCTTAAATGTTAGGATGAAGATCCATATGATATGATTCCCATTTAAAAAACTACAACAACAACTGTGGATCAGTGGAGGACTAGTTTCTATTTCTATGTCATATAATTTTTATCAAGGTACTGGAGAACTAATTGTAAGTAAAGTTATCCCCTACAAAAGGACCAAGTACAACTTCAGTATTTGAATCAAGCTTCAGTCACCCAAAGAACTGACATCAGCAAGCTGGCAAAGATTTTTTTACCCTCTTGGATGTAAATTATTAACTCTGAACAGTTAATAAAATACTTTCTTCATCTCTTTTGCTTTCACGTCTTTATTTGGCAGTATCATATGGATAAGAGTATTTTACCAGAGAATAGTTAATTTAGGATATTTTAATGTACATTAAAGCCCA